CCAAAAAACTGAAATACTGAGATGGCTTTGTATTGTCATGTTGGCAAAACCAGTCCCCCTTCTGCCACAAATCAGGCCTTTTCTGTCGCACACATCAGCCTCCCCCCCTTTTTAAGACCATTTTATTGGGGGCTCTTACAGCTCCAACAATCCATACATCAATTTTATCAAGCACATTTGTACCTATGTTGCCATCATTATTTTCTAAACATTTACATTCTATTTGAGCCCTTGGTATCAGCTCCTCTTTTTACCCTCCCTCTCCCTCCCACCTTCATGACCCCTTGATGAGTTAAAAATTATTATTAATTTCCTATCTTACACCAACTGCCGTCTCCCTCCCCCGGTGGTTTCTTTCCCACTTCTATCCCAACCTTCCCCCTACCCTCCTGGGATCACTACTCCCATTTCTGCTCCTGAGGGGTTAATCTGAACTGGATTCCATGTGTCATGAGCTCTTATCTGTACCTATGTACACGCTCCAGTCTAGCCTGTAGTCAAAGGCAGGATTGAAGTCATGATAGTGGGGGGGTGAGGAAACCTCAAGGAATCAGAGGAATATTGTGTTTCATCAGTGCTATACTTCAACCTGGTTGACTCATCCCTTCCTTTCGTCCTTTCTGTGAGGGGATGTACTATTTCCTACAGATGGGTTTTAAGTTTCTGTTCCGACCCACCTCGTTCTCAACAATATGTTTATTTGTTTGATTTATGTCTTCTGATGATATCTGGCCTTTTTTGGTCACAAACTGTTATGCAATCTCTAAATAGAAAGCTTGATTAATAGTCTGACCTGGTGGAACAAACTCCAAATGCAATATTCCTTTCACATAAAAAAAACTAATGAGAATTGTTTTGATCGTTGATTTCACTTGAAGAGCTTTTTTTGTGAGGTGAAGATGGTGTCTTCCACTGATTTTATTGACATTTACTTTCAAGGTCATAAGAATAGCATCATGTCTCTTCACCAGTAATGACCTTGAGGAAAAAGTCTGGGTCGCTTTGGAGCTGATCTTTTAAAGCACAGCATATTTCCACTCAATGCTCTTTTTCCTAGTCAGTCAGAACCCAAGGCACAAATTTCGAAGTGATCCTTTTCATTCATTAATCTTCAGTTAAAATTCGCTGAACTGAGCTCAAGATAGTTTAGATAACTTCTCCATCTCTTCAATGGTCCTTTGTTGGTCTTCAAGAACAAGTTGCATGAATTTTGTCGACATTTTCGTCCTTTTGAGAAGTTGACAGACATCCACAATGAGCTTTGTCATCAATCGACATTTCACCTTTTTTGAAATGAGAAAACCACTTGTACACTTGAGTTTTTCCATAGTGCTGACTTTGTAAGCTGTGGTCAACATCACAACAGTTTCTGCAGCTATAACAAAAAACGAGGTTCAAGCGAAACTGCTTTTATAAAAAAACTTACTGTGATCAGTGATGCCTTTGGGTGCACTAATTCAGAGTGAGTTGCTCTATGCTCACCTAGCAGGAAAAAATGCATACTAAGAAAGCTCCACCCACCACCAGGATCTACATATAACCCCCTCCCTGGGAGATGGACAACAGAAAAGGGGGTGAAGGGAGACGTCAGAAGGTGTAAAACATGAAAAAAAAAAAAGTCTATAAATTATCAAGGGTTCGTGAAGGGGCAGGGAGGGAGGGGAAAATGAGTTGCTGATACCAAAGGCTCAAGTAGAAAGCAAATGTTTTGAGAATGATGATGGCAACAAGTGTACAAATGTGCTTGACACAATGGATGGATGTATGGATTGTGATAAGAGTTGTACAAGCTCCCAATAAAATGATTTTTTTTAAAAGATAGTTCTGCCTAGGAGAGCTTTTTTCCAGTTTTTATGGGTATCCCTCATATACACAGAAGTAATTGACACAAAGTGTAGAATATTGGTCTGGGAGTGTTAGTACCAATTCAACTATCCACCAGATCTGTGATATATAGGTCTCATTTTCTCATCTAAAATATGAGTTTGCACTATATGATCTAAAATCTTGTTCTAGTCCCAATAGTTTATGAGCTATGAAAATAATTTCCTATTCATAGAGAGACTCAATGTTTGTTTCTGAAATATTATTTACTGAGAGATACATAGAGTATATATATATGTCTCCATCCTATATTACATAGGATATTTAAGATGGCTTCGATCATAGATTGTTGTGAAATTCAACATAATGAACAAAGCACTCCTCTCCCACTGCTTCTCCAAATCTGCTGCTTTTCTATAACCCATCTCAATGCACAAGACCAACACCCACTCACGCAGGTGCCCAAGTCAGAAATCTTACATCAAGTCCTATTGAGATGAATCATTGCTATCTTTCAGATCTTTCCAACAGTCTGTTCTCACTGCTACTGGCTTAATTTAAGCCCTGACAACTTCTTAATTTCTGCTGATTCTTGAAATAATATTTAAAACTATATATCTCAGTGAAGTGCAATTTCAATGCAATAGAGTCCACTGATTTTTAGTGTATCATGAGTTTTGGCAAACACCCATGAATTACTATCACAATTATGATATAGAACCTGTATGTCATCCCAGAAAGTTCCCTTACTCCACTGCAGGTTATTACAACTCCTGCACGCCCACTTCATCCAATCAAGCGGTGATGTCATTTCTGTCACTACAAGTTCATTTTGTCTGTCTCAGAGACAGTGCATATACAGAATCGTGTAATGTGTACTTTTTTCTCTGCTGGGCTTCTTTTGCTCAGTATAATGTCTGTAAGATTCATTCAAGTTGTGTGCCTAAGTAGTTTGTTCATTCTTATTATTAAGCAGTGTTCTAGTGTCCGAATACAATAAATTTTCTCATCTACTGCAATAGCTTCATAACTGGTCTCCTTGCCTTCAGTCTCAGGACTTCAGTTCATTCTTTAAATTGCTTCTAGAGCCACCTTCCTAAAATGCACATCTTATTATGCCACTCACCTTCTTAAATTCTTTCCATGGTTCCCCATTGCCTACGAAGAAAAGACAAACTTCTACTCATGAATCGCCCATGCCCTACTCCTCGACAACCTTTCAAATCCAACATGAACACGCAATTACACAACGCCATTTCTCTGTTTACAGTTTTTACATATGAATTCAGTCAAACTGAAGAGAAAAGTGAAGGTTTCAGGTCATTTCGGGAACTAAGGTCAGGTCCAGTTATATGGCCTGGAGGCTCTGGATGACAGCATAAATGCTGAAATGTACTTCACGGGTACCATGTGGTCGGTTTCCACTGCATCGCCTTGCCCTTATGTAAAAGCATGCCTAAATTATCATAGTCTAATTAAGACATAAAAGCATAATCTGCATGTGTATATGCTCTATTCACATATCAATGCAATTTTGTATCTTGTTTTCTACTTATAACCTTTTTTCCATATTATATTCTTTTCATAAACTTTTTTTAATGCCTAAAACACACACTAGACAAAGTATATATAGCTGATAGGTCTAATACAAACTTTTCACCTGTAGCGAGACATTTAAGTTAGTTCTAAATTTTTGTGTTAAATTTAGAATAATGCTGCAATAAACACTTTCATGTACAAAAGTACATGTTATATTTTGGATAATTTCTTAGGGATAGAATCTCACAAAGGGAATTACTGTGCTGGGAAGGTATCAATAATTGATGGTTTCAATAATTTTATAAATTATTATTAAATAATACATGAAAACCCAGTTTTAGAACCCTGTTGATCCTCACCTCACTGTTTAAGGCTTGTTTCTCAGAGACAATTCTTTTAGTAGTCACTTATTTTAGTTTCTATACTTAAATTACTTTTTCCCTATTTATTAAATACAGATTTCCCCCCCAGATAATATCTATTGACTCTCTGTCACAATAAATGAGAATTCAGCTTAACTACACCCCTCTTAACTCCTCTGTTAAATCATGGGAAGGGAGATTAAATAATATCAAATAATACATTTAAACATACACAGTTCATTATTCATAAATCATATATTCAATAAACAAACAAGGGGGATCCAAAAACTTTGGGGAAAGTTCCATTATCTTTCCATTCTATTTTTCCACAAAATTTTTGAAGGCCCCTTGTACTCCCAGTGCTTTTGTAGACATGAGTGCAGAGCACTGAAAGTCTCCCTGAGGTCAACAAGCCCCGTGTTGGTGAAGATTTCATAACAAATAACTACTGTGAATGAGGAGAACCAATTAATGGTCTTTCCTTTCCTCTCAAACTTCAGACAACATCCCTTTACATAGCCCTAGCCTTCCCCAACTTCTGTAGCTGTACCTTACTTTTACAGTGTTACAATGAATAACTTTTATATTTTAAAAACATAATGAAGTCTTTGACAGTTGTTTCTTAAAGTTAAAAAAAACTCTTAATGAATGTCCACTTTATGCTTATATGAATAGTAACTGAATAATACAGTAATAAATTGCTTCTTTCTACTAGTACCATTGTCATGACCCTAATCCAAACCCCAAATCCACCGCCATCAAGTCAATTCCTCATCTATCTCCTGAGGAGTAGCTGGTGGGATTAAACCACTGCCCTCATGTTTAGTCCAAAACTTACCTGGTAGTGCCATCAGGACTCCAGTAAAATAACAACAGCCATACCAGGTAAAGTAATAATTTTTATAATTTCCTCAAACCATGACAAGATCTAATTTGTCAAGAATATCAAAGTCCATTGTTATGCTTCCAAATTTAAGGCTAGCATTTTATACCTCACAGTGACCCCATAGGACAGAGTAGAATTGCCCCCTAAAGTCACCATGGTTGTGATCTTTATGAAAGGTGAATGCTAGGTCTTTCTCCTGCAGAGCGGTTGGTGGATTTGAAATCACCCGTCTATCCCTTAACCACTACATCACCAGAGCACCTTAAGGTCACTGAGTTAGATAGAACGGACTTGATTGCAACAGGGTTAACAAAATTTTGTGTCTGAGTCCAAAAAATTATTTACATTCGTTAGGAGTACAGAGTCATACAAAGTCATAACATTCCCACCTGCCAGGGCATCCCGATAAAGCTGCACAAAATGATTAAAGATGTCCTTTGGCAAGCACTTCTCATCTGGTAGACATTGGAGGAGAATGACTATCTCAGACTGACCCACCGCATGCATTCCCTTGGTAGTGAAACACCAGCATTTCCTGTTCACATCTAGAGACAAAAACATGCACAAAAATTTATATTGCCAAACAGCCAAGAATATAGATCACATGAAGTCTGTGTAATTCAACTATCAATACTCCAAAAACTATTATAGAAAAGAAAACATAAAACATAAAAAAATGAAACATGCCCATGCTACTGGTATGCTAGATAAACAACTGGAAGGAAAATAAAAGATGTGATAGTGAAAGAAAAATGCATTTAAAACTGCTATTATTCAAAGGTATAATTGTTAAAAGAAACAATATTCTATTAGTAAGATAGAATTAAAGTATGTATCCTAGGCTATAATGATGATAGGGTATAATGTCGTATTTTTGAAAAAACATCATTTTCCCAGGGAAATAAGAAATAATTACTTATGCAAGATCAGGAAGACACACACATACAACTTCACAACATGATCAAGTTTGGCTTCAGGTTGTAATGAAATAGATTTTCATACATATTTATTAAATTTAAGCTCTGAGACAGACTCTGGCTATTTATAGTCTTTTCTGGGGGGAAATGATAGCTCATCTGCCATCTAATTTTATTTGGTTTCATGGTTTAAAAAGTGGTGAAAGGACGGCTTTTCTAGACAACCTTCACTTTAAGGGTCCGTAGAGCCCAAGAGTACAAGCTACATAGTTAGTGAAAAACAATGTTCAATTTTAAAAATAATTCCAGTAAAATTACAATTATCACTATGTAAATCTAAAGTAGTCTCGGTGGTGCAGAGGTTAAGGCAGTCTGCATCTGTAAAGATGTGCAGCCTCAGAAAACTAACACTTGAGAAATGCTCATGTATGGACCTAGAAAGATGCATTCCTACTGTATTAAGGTGGTCTACACTTCCTACAAAGGAATTTAAGGTTGGATATTTTTAAAGTATCTACCACTTGTCTTTCAGTTTGTTGTTCTGTGGTGGCTTGTGTGTTGCTGTAATGTTCAAAGGATCACTGTGAATAGGAACCTACCTCATGGCACCTAATGGAAACCCGGTAGTAAAGGTGGCAAGTATTTAACTGGCCAAACACACAAAGATGTGATTAGCCAGTAAATCAGTATTTGTTGATCAAACACACAAAGATGATTAGCCATTAAATCTATACTTCATCCCTATAGACTGTTTAAGTAAGTAGTTTATAGATAGTTTATTGATGTTTCTGGATTCCAAGTTATTCTTAAATATGAATACAATGTGAACAGGACTGTCCCTCAGAGTTTCTTCCTCCATCCGAAGTTAATTGCATTCTGTTTTCCAATACCACATTAGAAAGCAGAATCAGAATTCTAGATTATTGCCTTCTTATTCTGATGTCCAAGAAACTATTAGCACTAAGAACTGAGAAGTAACTTCTATATCTTAATTTATAATATACTGGAGCTTTACCATGTATTAATCTACTAGCATAGAAACTAATCCTCCTGGATAATTTACCAATAACCAGTTAACTCTGGTGATGAGGTGTGACTTAATATATTCATTATAGGAAGGACCTAACTTAGATCAGTTCAAATTGTTCGGCATTCTTTCTACATTTATTTTTCTTTCTCTTTCTACATTTTAAAAAATTCTATAATTTTGTTTTTATTGGAAATTAGGTGGGGGTTTACATTTCAGATCATCAACTTTGTAGTCAACAGTTTAAACTACTAACCAACCTGTTTGGCTTTCTTACATGGAGCATTCACTTACCTCACTGACATAGGAGTTTTAGTTAGTCACATAGTTGTCCCCTGGGCATATTATTTTATATAAACCAATTCTGCAGTACTCTGTTTTAAAAAAGATTTGCGCTGGTACAAAACTCTTGTGTGTAATCAATTTAAAAGCTGTATTTACAGTCCTTAAATCAGAAATACTCTTTGATTTTTTTAAGAAGTAAATAAAATTCTAACTTACAATTTACAATTTTGACCATGGACAATAAATTTGCATTTAAAACAAATACAAGTGGGTCCGGACCACCATCCTCCAATTGCTGCATTACTGAAATCTGTGATGGTCTCTCTTCCACAGCATAATCTGTACAGGGAGAAAACAATGCAGGAGATAGGTAAAAAGGTCAGACCAAGAGAGGTCTACTGGAGAAATGGGTTGATTAAAGAAACAACAATTGATTTATAAGCCCTGATTGTGCCAGCTGTACCAGCTGTGTTAATAGTGTTCCCTTTCACCCTCAAAATTGACCAAATTGGATGAACTTATGTAAGAGGTTGTGGTAGCTACATAATCTTGTGTTGACTTGAGGATATTAAGAGTGAAGGGGGGGAGTCTAACCTGTCAATCAGGTCACAGCCTGATGATGATCCCTTTAAGACATGGCCTTCTCATGAGGATTCTGGGAACTTCCTCTCTTTTTCCCTGGAGGTGAACCAAACATTCTCTCTCTGCTTCACCTTCCTGTTGAGGAGACTCTCTCTTACACACATATATGAGTGTCTATAGATTTGTTTTTCTGGTCAACCCAGAATAACACAGAGGTCTACTTACAGACTTCTCCTACATCCCAAAATGATGTGTACATAGTCTAATGGTAACTCTTTCATTAATAAAACTTCTCCATTTCTCTGTCAAAACAAGAACATTTTACATGTTCTAACATTTAAGAACAATATTTAAAATAGTCCATGAAAACAAAATGATAATACTAGTTAACCCTGGAAAGGGGTCAAAGGGCTAAGGCAGGATCCTAGATTTTATTCAAATCTTTTTATACTGTTTGAGATTTTTTTTCCAATAAAAAAAATAACATTAAAAAAATGCTCCCAGAAAATGTACTTAAATTATCCTAAGTGACTAATCTTTCTAACCAGTGATTTATCATCAAAGTCACTGATAAATTATACTTCAGATTATGAACAAGGAAAATAATGCTCAAACATTATGAATATAGTGTGCTACATTCAGTCACTTCAGGCTGAATAATGGTGGTTGTCTCTGCTCAAAGTTAAATTTACATATAATAATCATATAGAATCTAAAGATATGGAAAAATAACTGAAAATATACAAGTAGCATGTTGTTTGGTTGTTTTTATGAATGAGGAAAGTCAAAAGGTGTTGCTAGTAGGGTACTAGTTCATACATGGAGGGGGTTTATTCCAAACAAAATGTGCTTAAATATGTCTGTGATCAGTGAACGCATAGCTGCAGTCAAGTTCCCTCCATAACACACTTATTTTAATCTCATCTCACTCGCTGTCAACAAGTAGATGCAAACTATAGTGACTGTAGAAGTGTCTCTGTGAGTTTCTGAGATTGTTACTGTTACTCTTTAGGGTGTCTTTAAAAAAAGTTACAATCAAAACTGGCATTCGAGGTAGAAAGGTCAGCTTTGAAAGTTATGTCATCTGTGTTTGGGAATTTCAAAGGAGTAATCTTAATAAATTTTCTCAAAGGACACAGGATGATCATGGAGTCTTATTATGAAGAAGTTTAAAGAAAATGGAAAAGTGCATTGACGAGAAAAGGCCAAGGAAGTTGACAAATGAGGAATTTTTTCCCCCATCACAACTGTGTTAGCCTGGATAGACTAGAGAGACAAATCTGTAGAAACTCATATATGTATGAGAGTGTTTTCTATAAAGGGTAAGTGTACATTAAGTAAGCATCCCAACCCAATACTGTCCAAGCCCATAAATCCAACAATTAGCCCATATGTCCGACACCAATCTACAGCGTCCTCCTCAATCTCACAAAACACAGGCAATATGCCGACTGCAGGAGAAAAGTCAAATCACTGAGTGTGTAAGCATCTCAGCGCTGGCAGGGGTCTCCACACGACTGCTCCAGCACCCAGGGCTGCATCAGAGTAGGTCCATGTGGCTTCTCCTCAGGGATGTCCTGCAGGAAGTGAGCCTTGTCAGCCGAGGCAGGGAACTGGCTAAGGCAGCTTCACCCGGGTCCAACCATCAGAGAGCAAGAGACCGAGAACTAGAAAGGCGAGGCTCACTGACCCATTTATCTCTCTGCCCTTCAATTAACGTGTGTTTATTGGCCAGGTTGGCACAATAAACCTTAACTCACAACAATGCACCTGTTCAGTCTTCAGAGAGCAAATTCAATGAGAGTTCTGTCAGGAAATCTTATCCCATCTACCCTACATCCATGAGCTTGCCCTTTCAGATTCTTTTTTGTTCCCCAAACATAAAAAAATGTAGTTCAGAGGAACATGATTTGAGCCCTTCACACATGACAAAACTGCCATTTTCATGCGGTGTAAATCAGAGTGCAGAGTTCTTTAGGGAAGGATTACAGAGATGGAAACACTCTTGTCATAAATTAGAAGCCTAAGTGGAGGGTAGGAGGAGAAATTATGGCTTCAAATGTTGACATTTTGTTTAATGAAGGTTGCTATTATTTTGTAGCAATACCTTTAGACTCATCCTTGTAGAATGCATCATTGAGGGGCAGCCAGGTAGAACAAACACTATTTCCCACTGACCACGGAAAACTAACTAACTGAGTTAGTTAATTGTGCCAACCTG